AACACACACACACACACACACACACACACACACACACACACATACCATGTATACATCACTTCAGGGGACATTACATTGACTTACATGCATTTCCTGGAGACTTACCCTAACCCTAATACTAAACCTAACCAAGTCTTCACCCTAAAATTAATGATTCCCCTCATGGGGACATCCAATTTGTCCCCATAAGGGAAGCGAGTCCCCACACGTGACTGTGTAAACAGATTTAGGTCCCCACAAGTATAGTAATGCTAGGCCACACACACACACACACACACACACACACACACACACACACACACACACACACACACACACACACACACACACACACACACACACACACACACACACACACACACACACACACACACACACACACACACACACACGAGCATCCCTCTCTCTTTCCTGCCTCTTTCCTGCTGTAATGAGACAGGAAGTAAGCTTTATAAACAGGAAACAGTCATTCTAACTATGACGTAAGGCAACTATTTGCCTGTGTGTGTGTGTGTGTGTGTGTGTGTGTGTGTGTGTGTGTGTGTGTGTGTGTGTGTGTGTGTGTGTGTGTGTGTGTTATACAATGCATTCAGCGTGCCTAATGTACGTCTACTGAATATTGTGGAGAGCTGACATGCACTCACAGTGTTTATGTGCATGTATGAATGAGTGTTTTGTTACAGGGCATTATCATCGGCGATCCTGCATTCTAATTGGCTGAACTTCAGCTGGCAGGATGCAGGAAAGACCTTAATGCAATTTTCTCCATAAACAAAAGACAACAAAGACAGCAAGATGCATTCATGGTAAAAATAGAATCATATAATTGGTTTACATCAGAAAGATTCAATTATGATCCTGCTCCAGGCTGGGTTAGCTTCTTGCGTTTGCTGTAAAGCCAATCATTATGGTTTCTATATTTGACTTTTTCAAAAAGTAAATTAAAATGATTTGGAGAGAAACAGCCCCAAAGACTTTATCTGGGCAGTTTGCCATGCATGCATATTTATTTCAGTCTCACATTATTAGTAGATTCACACTCTTGAGAGCTGTTATCATACATTAGACAAAAAAATGTGATCCAATTTTTTTTTTAGATATTTCCAAATAATTATTTCAGATTCCAATTTTAGGATGCATGAAATTGACCTATTTTTACTGTGCTATTCCCCTGGGAAAAAGGAATTCTCAGAAAAGCAGAACATTTCTAAACAAAGTAGTGAATAAGTCATGATGAGGATGGGCAACTACATTTAAATGAGAGACAATCAAATAAACTAAAGCCAAATGTGATGTAACAGAGATATTCAATGTCATTTATCAGAGGGTTTATCATTATATAACCTAGATGTTAGTAACGAAATAGAATTATGTATGGCCAAGTAGCTTCCAGACATTGTAAGTCTTTTTAATGGACTTACAGATATTCAGAATGATGTAGAGAGCAGCGAGAGACAGTAGGAAGAAATTAGACTTTACAGTTTTGACCCAGAAAAAGTGGATCTAAGAATAGTCGACTGGAAGGACGGACGCTGCCTCTCCAGAAGCTGCTGCTCAGCATGAAGCTCCACAGCGACTGCACTGATACCTGCCTGTTTCATAACCAAAAATATTATAGGATGCACTTAGCTTATGTACAGTATGTGTCAAGAGATGCCAAAGTGAACAGAATAAGAACTTGAGCGTAAAAGTGATATTGGGACATCTAAAATGGCATTAATGTTCCTATGCACCCTAGAAATACTGACAGGAAACAACAAGTTATGTTGTGAAAGCAAGGCAATAACTGAATGCCAGTAATAGCTGACAATTGAATATTTACCTCAATAAATTCACATTTTTATACCCTTATTTTGCTTTTGTGGTATAAAAAGTGCACATTTTTCTTATTGCTAAGTATGTGGCATACTGCTGGAAGCTATATGAAACTAATACTGGTAAAAGAGCAGACTAATCTATTCATATAATTAGTTTAAAATATATAAAATAATT